GGGGGGGGGAGGCGGGATCCGTTCATATTTACTGACTGACGTTGACATCCTATTGGTATGCTCGTATTCCTGTAAGCCTACCATTTGCCATCAATCAGTAGTCCTTAAGTGTGTCCTTAAAGCTTATATCCACCATATATATATATTTCCAGGTGTTTTGCTGGTGATGTGAAGATCCCCCGGGCAATGTTGGTTTTCGTTTGCTGTCTTTGTATCTAGTCCTCTATAATGTTTTCTCTATTTTAACTTTGGGGAAAAGAGAAAGTACTCTCAGTGTTTCACTTAGGCAATCTTTTTCACTCCACTTGGATCTCCCTTTGAATTGATTTGATCCTAGTTTTCAAAACTAGTTGTTCTCATTTCAACCAACTTGTGCAATTCCTTCCATTTCGGTGTGCATTCTTTTCACTGTTAAGATAAGTTATGCAGTCCTCGCATGTTTATATTTGCGCAATTGTAATCTCAAAATTTTGCGAGTTTCAATATAAACTTTTTTAACTTCTCTAGGCCTCTACTAATTTCATACCGAATACTAGCAATAGGCACGATATTAATTTTTTTTTATATTTTATAAATTGCTAAGTCGACTTTTCCAACGTTCCGACCCACCCAAACACATTCTCTCCTTCCCTCCCCCCATCTTCTTCTTCTTCTCCAATTTGCCAAAAAAATGCCTTTTCATTTTTCAATCACCAATCATGAGAAGGGAAACATTTTTCAGACTTTCCCATTTCCCTACTACCATGGCGCAGCAAATTTGTCCTCTCCTCTTCCCCATCCTAGTTGTGAGACTTCCTCCCTGCTCGCGTTAAATTAAGGTTAAGTGTTTTGGGCTGCATGGATATGTTTACCTCGCGCATCATTAATTAAATACCTCGATATACTAGCCCNCTAGCCCCCCCCCCCCCCCTCCCCACGGGCATGTTATGAATCCAGTGATTCCTTCTCTCCTCCTCCTCCTCCTCCTCCTCTTTTCACTTCCTTTAAATCAGGAGAGTGACTAATCTGCACCTTTGTGCTGCCACAAAGGAGGTGTAATTTCCACAAGCTCGCTCTATTTATTGGGCTATAAAATTAATAGATGGTGGAGTTGTGTTAACTCCGGAGGCTTTTAAGGCCTCTAATTCATACTTGGTACTTACCTCTTCCCCCCCCCCCCCCCCCCCCCGGACTCTCCCTAACACATAGGAAATGAATAAATCATGGGGTAAAAAGTAAATGGGCTAGAAAAGGTCCCCTTTTCGTAAGCATGAAGACTTATTTGCGGAAAGAAGTTGCCTTTAGGCGCAATTCCTTAACTCTTGGGGCAAAAAAATAAGTTGCTAAGCGGATACGTGAAGTGATACGATCAATTTGCAAATACTAACTAGTTGACCGGTAATTGCTACTGCGGGTGCAAAGAAATGTGCGCGTGTGCGTGTGTGAGTGCGTGGCCTCGGGTTCAAGCTCTCATCTCGTAAGTGCGCTGGTTAATCAAGATCGTTGTACTTTGTGGTGGCTCGCAAATATTATCTAAACCCAACAATCTTTCGTTTATTCCTCGACCCCTTTTCCCTCTAATTTCTCCATTCGGTTTTGCTATCGACTTATTTCGAACTTGGGGTATCTTTTCTGTGACCTTTATCTATGGACAGCTATGTTTCGCACCTGTCTCTCACTCTCGCTTTCTCTCTCTCTTTCACAAACCACGATAAATGCATGAATGCTTTCAACATCTCGCCATCTCTTACGCGATTGGTTAATTTCCAGTTCATGTTCTTCCTCCCTCGAAGCATTATACTGTGGCATTTACGCGGCTGGTTGACTTTTTCACTGCAGTTATTCTTGCCTCAGATCATTTCTAACTCGAAAATGCCAAACCAGTTTAACCTTGGTATTTGTTAGTAAAATCAGATAAACGCGAATAGGAGATCAAGCAATTCGAGCAAAAGTTATTTTTTTGGAAATGTTTCGTCAGGGTAGGAATACACACTCCTGGGGGGGTGATTACTTTTTTCATTTTATCAATATCTATCCTAATTTTCCCTTTATTAATATTATAGACCTGCACGTATATGTCAGGGTTAGAAATAACGTTTGTTTTTGTGCCTAACGCACTTGCGCGTGTATGTGCGGTAGAAGGGGGGGAGGGGGGGGGGGGGGGGGGGTNGAAGGGGGGGAGGGGGGGGGGGGGGGGGGGTTGGATACGTTGTCGTTCAATTCTCTGTCTGGAAAATCTAGGCTATTGGTCTAACAGATCGTAAAAGATGTTGTCTCAAATCTCCTGTTATCGTATTTGCTTTGTTCTATAAGCATTCAAACTGGCATACTTTTAGACTCTGGTGTAAGGTAGCTGTGAATGAAATTCTGATTTTCGAGACAACTATGTTACTCTAGTTTGTTTGGGTGTGTTCCTTTGGGGGATGGGGAGAAAAAAGGGATATTTATTTTGTAGCTACGTCTAGTCTGATATTCGGCCCCCCGATTGGTTAGACTATTTGGCAGTTAATAAAAAGGAACATCTGTCTCGCTGCCGTTTCTCACCTCTCTCGGTGTGGCTCAAATTTCGAACTTCACGTCCAGATATGAATCATTGTATCTGTAGTTCGATTTTCATTATTGTTGTTATTATTATTTGATATATATTACAACTTGGTTTGACCTCTGTTCACTTTTGTTTGCTAACTGGTTTTATAGCTTCCCTGTCTCTTTCAGTCCCTCAAATTAAGATGGCCACTTTTATGTTGTCAGCTGCTCGATTTCAATGGACACTGCAGCAGTGTGTCTGTTGCGGACACATTTCCATTTTGGTTTCGCTATAACTTGTTCCTTACCTCATACTTATGGCTTAGCAAACCTATTTTTTGTTTAAATTGTTTGAAGGTTAAGTTAACTAAATTAAAAAGTAGCAATTGCTGGTAATTTCAATAGAGACTCTATTCTAGAATCCATTCTTTTTGTCCCATCCTGGGCGATTGTGCATCCCGAAAGAATTTGTTTCTTCTTTTTTTCACCAAGTTCCTCCTAACTACTTTCTTTGTTATCTTTCGTTTGCCCTCCCCTCCATTGCCCTCCCTCCAGGAGTAAATTGTTCGCCTTCTTTGTGAAAGTCTTGCGCTTAATGGACTCTAATACAGTTCAATTCATAGGTGGAGCCAGGTCATTGCTATTGCCCTCGGCTTCTTATCTCGTGTATCCATTGGAGAGTAGTGGGGGGGGGGAGTTTGAACACAATTAGAATGAGATGTGAAAATTAATTACTTTTTTCCGAACTGTAAGAAAGGAAATCCGTATAGATAAGCAGTCGAATCCCCTTAAAATAACCATCAAGACAACGGTCTAACTGGAAGTATTGAAAAGGAATGTGTCTCCGTCATTCTAGGGTAACCCCTTTTACAATACCAAGAATCTTTCTTAATGCTACAAGTGGACTTCCAAAATAGAAGATTCGGCTGAGACCAAAAGTGCCATATTGAATAGCTGTGAGAGGTAGGAGATTGGGAGTAAAGTAGGAATTGTAGGCGTCTAAATTTGGAGTCTTAAAAATGTTTGGGTAAATTAAGTGGGCTAATCAATAATTGTTACGCACGTGCGTGTTGGGTCCACTGTGTGTGGCGCGGGGGGGGGGGGGGGGGGGGGGGAGAAGGAGGGGTGCACTGACTTCTAATCTATCCAGACGATTTCATTGTTTGCATAAATTTCCTGTCCTACTTTTACTATCTCCCTTCTCCATCAATTGCATCCGCTGCAAATTCTCCACCATCTTACACTTAATGGGGGGTTTGTCACATAAAATCGAAGATAGATTAGTCGTGTACGATTGTAAATCGCGACTTTACGGAGGCAGAAATTTCCCCGAAATTCTAAAGCACACTTTTGCTTCCTAATCCACTGTGTTTTTGTCTCTCCTACTTAGGAGAAAGTGGGAAAAGAGGATGTTTGAGAGTTCAGGATGTGTAAGGAATGTAGAAAAACGAGTACTTCCCCCCCCCCTCCCCCTACAAGAGCAAAGAAGATCCAAATTGGTACATTGGTCAGACGGACTCCAAAACATCCCGTATGTTGGTGAGAGGAGGGGGGGGGGGGGGGGTGAGGGGGTACGTTTAGTCTATTTCTTGTTTCCCTGTTTTTCTCTTCATTTTCTTTTGGAATTTCATCCAAACTAGACAATGCTATCTTAGTCACCATTTGCTCTGTTTTGTTGAGTTATTTTTTTCTTCTGTCTCAGTCTCTTGAGGAAAAGTTTTTTTGGGGGGTTTGAAAAGGTTGGTTGCGCTTTTTTCGCCTATCCCACAGTCAGAATGAAATATGGTGCTAAAACTTGTCACAAGTTTTACATGAAGCAAGTAAATGTGGGATTTAAGAATAGCTCTCTTGTCAATTTTCCAAACATTTTTAACTCAAGTACTGATAGAGCGCATATTCTGCGTCTATGTCTTCATGTTCTAATTAAAATTGCTCTTGACAGCACAATCCCATCTTGTCCTTTCAGCCTGGGCTTCAAGTTTGGAAGATCTTTAAATTTGTGTGTTTTGTCGGAAATATTTAATCATTAACTTTGGACGATTTTTTAAACTTTCCCATCTCAAGGTCACGTCCGCTTTGTCGCTATTATGAGCCTTTTTAGACAACGATTTCACTAACTACAGTTATTATAATTG